TGGAGTCTGGGAGGCCAAAAATGAACAAAACATGGGCTGTTTTTTGCTTGTTTTTGCCCCCCAGCAGCACACTATAAGCCTCCTAAAGGCTATCCATGCCCTTTTTTTGACAAAAAAAAATGGTCTCGTTTTGTGAGGTCTGCCGAATGCAAAAACTTTTTTTTTTAATTTGCCTCTTCAAAATCTTAAACTCTGGTGCATCTTATACTCCAAAAAATATGATATGTGTTTGAATTTTTTCAACCTTCCCTACCATAATTTTCTTGCCTTTCATAATACATGGATTTGTTTCATTATTTTTTATAGATATTGTTCCATTATAGCAATAGCACTTAGACTTATATACCGCTTTACAGTGCTTTATAGCCCTTATCCATTTTGGAAGTTATATTTGGCATAAGTGTTCCTTTCTTTCCAGCACCATTGATGTCATTGAGGGCTTTGAAGTTATGTTTGGAGAAAAAGAATGTACTTCATGTTTTTTTGATATCCAGTAATTCTTTTTTCCCCTCCTGCCTCTCTTAAGTCCTTCAATATGGAGATCAGAGATCCTGACGGAAGGAGGAATCCATCAAATCCCTTTCAGGAGCTGTTCTCCGGGAGGATCCTTCAGGAAGATCCAAGTCAGGACACCTCAGAAGGTAAACCAAGGTCCTCCCGTTCCAGTGGTGGAACTCAAATTTTTTTTACTACCAGTTCTGTGGGTGTGGCATGCTGGGCATGGCAGGGGAAGGTTACTGCAAAATCCCCAATCCCTCCCGATCAGCTGGGACTCGGGGGGCAGTGAATAGATGGGGACGGGGCCAGTCAGAGGTGGTATTTACCAGTTCTCAGAACTACTTGAAATTTCCGCTACCAGTTCTCCAGAACTGGTCAGAACCTGCTGAATACCACCTCTGTCCCATTCCCCAGAGAAATTTTCTTTCTTATTTTCTTTGTCCTATAGAATACTTCTCCTTATTCCTTCAATTATGCATCTTAAAATTCTGTCTTCCTCACAGTGAAACGTGGAATGACGCGTGGCCTTTATGGTAGTGCTGAAACAGTGGATGAAGCAGCTGAAACTCATGTAAGAGCAGGAGATTTATTAAGATTTGTATTCTGTCTTTCCTTTGGGAAGTCAGTCTAGAGTACATAACAATCTCTCCCATCTCCCCCCCCCCCATGCCTGTTGATTTAGATATTGTTTTTTCCTGAGCAAAACAGATAAGGGAATAGAAGATTCAAGTATTGAATCTTCAAGATTCAATCTTCAGGATTCAGCCACGTTCGCTTCTTCTAAAGTCTGCATTTGAGATGCTTTGTTCCGTTATTTCAACTCTTGAGATTCTTATGAGGATTTTTTTAATATGAGCCCATTTTATTAAATGATGATGCAGACTGTTAAAATCCAATGAAGGTGGCTAGATAAGACTTGCAAAGTAATTCGTAATCCACTGATTTGCGCCATGACTTGGATGCCAGATCTTCCAGCATTTTCATGAAGATGATGAACATGGACAGAACTGATCCTTTCGGGGACACCCTAAGCCAGCCGTTTCCTGGAATTCTGGAAAGAATTCCCCCAATTTCCTTCTGCAAAGTCAGGAAGAACTTGTGTTTCTGAGGGGGCCCATCTGCAAGTTGATTTTATCCAGATTCTGACAAGAGTATGATGATTGCTTGATTGATCGCTGGATGGATGGGTTGATGGTGGATGGAGACACATAGATAAATAGATAATTAGGCAGGCAGGACACGACTTCGCAACTAACAACAATAAGGCTGGCAGATAGACAGATTGATCAGTCAAGAAGGAAACTGAGGTTCCGTTCACTGAACGTCTTGCAGAATAAATCAGTGAGGGATCCTTGGTGGTTTTCTTGCAGGTATTTCATTATCAAACTAGGTAACATCTTCACCAGCACTGATGATGTTACTTATAGTAGTTTAGGAAAACAACCAAGCTCAGAGAGCACCAAGAATCCCTCATTTATAAAAGCCGAGGTGGCACAGTGGTTAGGGTGCAGTACTGNGAAGGCCAGACAAGGAAGAATGGATGGAAACTGACCAACCTGGATTCAACCTGGAAATAAGGAGAAATTTCCTGACAGTGAGAACCATCAACCCATGGAAGAGAAGTTGCCTTCAGAAGTTGTGGGAGCTTCATCCCTGGAGGCTTTCAAGAAGAGACTAGACTGCCATCTGTCAAAAAGGGTGTAGGGTCTCCTGCTTGGCCTGGTGGGTGGGGGGTTGGACTAGATGACCTCCAAGGTCCCTTCCCAACTCTATTAATCTGAGTGTGGATTCAGTTGACCATTTCTACTTTCAGGAAGAGACTAGACTGCCATCTGTCAGAAACGGTGTAGGATCTCCTGCTTGGGTGGGGGGGCTGGACTAGATGACCTACAAGGTCCCTTCCAACCCTCTTCTTCCATGTCCTATGTGCTCCCTCCGCAGGAGTCTACTGCTGTGGGCCAACTCCGGTGAAAGCCGTCAAGGATGGACAGCTGGACTTCAAGTACGATGTGAAGTTCGTCTTTGCTGAGGTCAACGCCGAAGTGGCCTACCTGATGCTTCAGAGCGACATGTCCCGCAAGAAGACCATACACCCCACCATTGTGGGCAAGAACATCAGCACCAAGAGCGTGGGGAAGGACACCAAGGAGGACATCACCCACACCTACAAGCACCAGGAAGGTACTCGGAGGGGCCGTGGGAAAAACTGGGCGGGCACCCTTGAGCTACTCCTGGCAGGAAATACGCCGTAATGGAGCCGGGAACTACAATCATAACTCATGCCAACCCTTAAGTGGATTCCCACTTGACCTTTGGGTGGGGGTCGTTTAACTAAAGCATGGTCCTTAAGTGAACGCAGCCGTCATTAAGCAAATCCATTTGTCCACCGTGGCTGTATTCCTCCCCCTCCCCTTTTGTTTTGCTGGAAACCAAGGCCAGATTCTGGCAAAAACATTAATTGCAGTCACCAGAAACAGGCGTAAGTGCCGGTCAGTTGCCGAGCAATCATATCACCGTGGGAACGATCATGAGAACTTTGAATCTGCCTGCTTTGAATGTTGCCCTGAAGAGATCCGTTGTAACTTTGAATCGGAGCTAAAGAATCAGTCGTAAATTGAGCACCACTTGTTAACTGTCATGAGAATGTTTAATGGAAGCCCAAATTTTAAGACGTGTGGACTTTTAACTCTCAGGAGTTGAAGTCCACAAATCTTAAAGTCTCTGAGGCTGAGAAACATGGGTCTAGTAGTGCTTTTGTTCCATGTTTTGCATATCCCTCCATCAGTTGGCCATTCGGAGCTTCTAAGCATGTGCAGAGTTCTAATAAAGGAGAATATTTGTTGAAACGCAGCAATGACATTAAAGCCAGTCCTGGACTTTTAACCATCACAACGGCGCTCCACATTTCCATTGCTAGGCGAGACGCTTGTCAAGTCTGTTTGGCCCCCGTTTTACGACCTACCTTGTTAAGCGAATCACTTCAATTATTCAATTAGTGACCGTATTGTTCAGCAAAGTCACTTTCCCCCCATACTGTTGTAACTTCGAACAGTCACTAAAAGAACCGTTGTAAGTCCAGGACTATTTGCACGTAATTTGAGCAGTGAAACCTGTGCAAGAAAACAAGCCAGCTCAGCCGGTAGAGTTTCTTTAGAAATAAGTTGGGTTTTGGCCGTGTCTCCTGTTCTGACCGAGGCTTCCTGATACAGTAAAAAGCAGACACAGTCCCCAAAAACCCTCTTTTTATTTCAACGGCTGTGAATTATGTTCATTCGCAGCCCATAAATGAGTCCCAAATAGTTTGCAAAGAGTCCGACCGAAGTCTGCCAAAGTCCTTCGGAATAAGGCTGATAAGCGCCCACCTTTACCGCCCTTGAAACTCCGCTAAAGACCTAATTGGCAGTTAGCTTTGCAAAGCCACACGGAGCACATTTTCCGCCTTTACGTCCTATGGGAGGGGCCAATCACCTCCAAGCCTTTCTCCTGAGTCGCCCCTTTTGTCTTAACTGTTCTTGCCTTCCGGCAGCCCTGCGCACGCACACACTGGGAACAGGCTCCCCCTGTTCCTCTGCCTCGCTGCTGTACGACGCTGGAGGCTCCGGAGGCAGCTGATAGCTGCCATACGGCCCTGGACCCCTCTCTGCCTCTGACTAGAGGGTTCCACCACAAAACAGCGTTCGACGAAACCGCGTAGCTGACGTCATCACAGCGCGACAACAGCGCGGAGAAAAAAGCATGCTGTAAACGCTAAACCGAAATTTAACCCCTAAACCTAAACCTAACCCCCCTAAACCTAATCCTAAACCTAACCCTAAACCTAACCCTTAACCTAACCCTAAAC